TTGAGAGAGGCGCCGGAGGAGGGAAGACACGTCTATAAAGGGTGACTCTGTCTACAAAGATGGGGAGAGGGCTGCTGAGTTGGTGAGCAATACTGTGTGCTACAATCCTTACTGACTAAGCCACCCCTCCTCACACAGAGGTACGAATATCGCATTGTAACTGAACAGTCTAGCTCAGATAGCATTGGGGTACACAGAGTGGCAGAGGATAAGGACGTGAAAATATTGCTCCCAACAGTCTATCAGAAGTTTTTCTTCGCCTTCTTACCCCTGCATCCTTGGAAAACACACATCCTCCGTGTCAACTGAAAAGATGGCGATAGTTCTCTAATGGGAAAAGGGGAACAAGGGAATTTTCGGGGGATGTGGGTATACACAGGGTATGAATTTCCTACAGATATTATAACTAATTATCACAGACTTTACTTAAGGCAATCCACAATAGTTCTCTACAAATCCGGAGGTCAGAAGTCTGAAATCAGCATCAGTGGGCTAAAACTAAAGAGTCAGCAGGGCTTTACTTAAACTGCGAGAGTCGCCTTGCAATCTGAGAGTCTGTGGGGAGAATCCATTTCCTTGCCTTTGCAGCTTGCAGCACTGGCTTCTTCCTCAGTCTTCAAAGCCAGCAGTGATAGTATCTTACTTCTGCCTTCATATGGCCTGTCTCTTCAGTCAAACCTAGTTTTCGTCTTCTTTTTAGGCAGGCTCTCACTGTGTAACCCTGGCTGGTCTGGCACTCACTATATAAGCAGGCTGGCCTTGAACTCGCAGAGATCAATCTGCTTCTGCCTCCCAAATGCCAGGATTAAAGGTGTGCGCACACACACAGCTTGCTTCTCTTTCATTATAAGGCTAGTGACTGATTCCCTTTGGATCAACTCAGATAACCCAGAATAATTTCCCTATTTTAAGAATCCTAATCACGGGACTGGAGAGATGGTTCAGTGGTTAAGAGCACTGGCTGCTCTTGTAGAGGACCCAGGTTCAATTCCCAGCACCCACATGGTAGCTCACACCGGTCTATAATTCCTATTCCAGGGGATCTGACACCCTCACACAGACATATATGCAAGCAAAACATCAATACACATAAATAAATTATTAAAAAATAAAAAGAATCTAATCACACACCTACGAAACAAAGGCAGGCAGATCTCAGTGAGTTCGAGGCCAGCATGGTATACAGCGTGAGTTCCAGAACAGCCAGGGCTACACAGAGAAACCCTGTCTCGAAAATCAAACAAAGAATCCCATTTACATCTACAAAATCTCTTTCACCATGTAAGGTAATAACTATATGCTTTAACAATTATAGCCTGATACATAGGGCATCAGTATTCAGTACATCATAGTAAGTAAAGATTCACTAAACTGCATTCAAGATTTATGCATTATTCTAGGCACAGAGGCATATGCCTGCAATCTCAATGAATTGTGAGTTCCAGGCCAACCCAAGCTACATAGACATAGCTTGTCTCAAAAACAATTGTGCATTTTACCATCTACAAATTATATCCCAGCCCCCAATTGCAAATACTCGTTCGATAATCATGAGTTAAAGACCTCCCAGGTCTCCTTTCTTCCCACTGAGCGGATTAGAACCTGATTTCAGAGAGGGAATAAGCCCCTAAAAGGGAGAGTGGGACTTTGAGTGTGGGTCTAATGAAACGTAGGCCAAAAATAGATTGCTTCTGGTTTTTCACCTTCCCCATCGGCACTAACCTTAGCAAGTTCCTAGCTTTTTCCCACATGCCAAAGCTTAGTTTCTGTCTCATTACAGTCCCAGCAGAATTCGAGCTTCTCTAACTGCCTGGAAATGCCGGTGAAAGACACAGAGCAATTAACTGAGACAGCCCTGAGGAGCATGCTGGTCACGGAAGGGCCTGGCTGACTCAGTCAACTGTGCAAAGGAATACAGGAATTCTATCTAGGTGTTAGAGGCAGATATTGGAATCTGCAGGGCACCTGCTGTATTTCCAGATCCCTGTGACCTATAGGAATTGGACCAGGGACATCTGGACTGTGGCGGTAACAAAGACTGCTTATTAAGAAAGAGCATTTCCAATCAAGGAAGTAAGTGAACCAGAGAACTGGAAACTCAATAGCACTGGGCTACAAGAGTTGTGACTTTCTATGGATTATTAATACAGCACTCGCCTTTTCTACCATGTGTATTTCTGGGACTTTTTCACACAGATAGTCTGTTCCATACATGTAGCCCTTGGTTTTGAGTTCTAAGCTATTTCTCTATCATTAGTTTCTTTCACTCACATGTTAATTTTTGAGACAGGGTCTCTCTGTGTAGCCCTGGCTGGCCTGGAATTCACAGAGATCCACCTTACCTCTCCCTCCTGAGTGTCGGGTTTAGAGGCATATGCCACTACACCCTGCCATGGGATTAGAGGCATGTGCCACCACACCCAGCCATATGGTAATCTTGATACTTCTATCTCTACCCTACATAGAGCCGTTGGTGAGAAAGGGCCCAACTCAGCCAGCCTTCTAAGCCACAGCCATAGCTAACCTCCGAGAGCTAGAGAGCCCATCTCAAGGGTTGAAGACTGCATATAAGTAAATAGTAAAGACCAGCTAGGTCTAAGGGGAGGAGAAGGGGAACCCGAGTCCTGGAACCTCAGACCTTGGAGTTTCTGCTTCTACACACTTCGTGCCTACAGAGGTGGGGCCCAGGCCCTAGAAGAAAAACAAGAACTAGAGAGCACTTGGTTGCTATTGCTCTGGCAGCTGCAGGGCCAGAAATAGCTCTAATTCCATGAGTGGCCACACAAGCTGAGGGAGGCTGCTTAGAGCATGGACTTAGTTTCAGGGATTGGAAAGACTCAAGAGCTGGCAGTGGGAGGTGGGCAAGTGACCCTAGGTCTGGGTCACCCAGAAGTCAGCAGCCTATTCCCTGAAGTGTAACGCTCTGCTACTCTAGCAGAGAACCTGCCCCCAGGCCAGGAATGCTGTACCTTCCTTCCTCTCAGAAAAAAAGAAATTCAAGGATCTCTGCTCCTGCTCCACCGCCTACAGGAGACTGATCCCTGTCCTACACAGGAGTTAGGATAATTGGGGTTTCTGATCGTAATCAGGCTTCAAGAGTCCAAGGTCCCAAGTGGGACTCTTTCCCATCCTCTGGGTTCTCATGTGGCCTAGAACGGATGGTGAAAGATACAGGGACTGGAATGTGACACAGGCTGCTCAGACAGACCAAGGTCCACACCAAGAGCCCTCCTGCTTTTACCCCTTCACCTTTAAGATTTCCAACTTGTCTTTGATCCCAGCCCTCGTGTGGACGGCAGTACAAGTCCAAAGCCCACAAATTCCCTTCTTAAATGCACTTCCTGTAATTGATAGGTCTCAAATCCCTGACAACTGGCTGAGGTGCTGTTTACATATCAAAGCAGACCTGGCCTCCAGGTTCTCCCAGCATCCCTCAGTCCCTACCTGTTACAGGGTGTGGTTGGCTACCCTACCCCCTCCCCTGAACTCAGCAGCCCAGGGTCCGGGTTTCCCTTCCCTCAAGCGGCTCTTCCTTAATATAATCCAGCCATTTGGGCTACGTGATTTTTACTCCTTTTACTTTTTTTGCCCTTTTGGCCTCTTGGTCTCCTGGTCTCCCTTACATGGCCTGGCTCAGGGCCATGGTTACTCCGGACCCTTCCAGGTGCCTCACATCTACAACAAGACTTCTCCTCCACCATACATAGGAGCAGTCATGCCCTCCTTTTTACTTCTTGTTTTTAATCAGTACCATTATCAGAATCCCCTAGCCCTGGCCTACCTCCTCAGTAACAGGAGGCTGATCTCATAGTCACTAATCTGTACTCACTAATCTGTTTTCCAAACTCTTGGCCCCTAAGCTAATAATAGTCGTGTTTCATGCCACCCACCTCAACCCTATTCTTGTTCTCTGACTCCCACCAATCTACACATTCAGAGGACTACAGACATAAGAGGCTGGGAGGCCAGCTTAGCAACCAGAGCTGAAGGCCGATGTGAACTTCATCTCTATTCTCAGGTAATATTCTAAATCTCCCTACTTCTAGCCTACTAGGTCTACCGTCCTTGCCTTTAGCATCTCCTGTAGGGGGAGGAGAGGGACATCTTTCCTGATGCAAGCAATGGGTTTTCAGGCTGGTTGATGTAAGAGACTTCTAGAATGCACCACCCTCAGCTCATCCCTCTGACCAGGCCTGGTATGTTCTGAAGGAAAGCACCAGAAAGACATTTCCCTCTCTATGGTTCCCTGGAACCCGAAGAGATGGGTGGAGCTAGGGTGGGGAATTTTGAGGTGGGAAATAAGAGGGATGATAAGTTAGGGCAAGGAGAGCTTGTCATCTCCACAGAGGCTTCTGCCACCAACACCAAGAAATCGAGAGCAGCAACCTCTTCTCCCTACACCTTTCCTCCTCCTTCTTTCCCCCTTTTTTCCTTATTTTAGCTGAAGGTCAAAAACATCCTAATTCATCGTCAAGTCCATTCCAGGGACAAACAGAAATATAATCCAGTCACTTATTCATTCATTCAGTTAACAAACATGTCTTGCCAACGACTGCGCGCCAGCTGAAGTTCAGTATCATGCAGCCCGAAAACCATGGTTTAAGAGACAAAGTGGGACCAAGTGGGATAAATAGATAAAAGTTAGACAAATAAGACAGGGAGCAACCAAGGAAGACACTGGACATCCTGGACTTTCACACATATGCATACATGCATGCATGTGTACACACACACACACACACACACACAGAGAGAGAGAGAGAGAGAGAGAGAGAGACAGACAGACAGACAGACAGACAGACAGACAAACAGGCAGACAGAGACAGAAATTGGCTTATAACAAATAGGGAGGGAGGTGTTTTCCCCTTGTCCAGTTGACCAAATGTGTAACTGAAGAGGTGTCATAGGAAGGGGAAAGAACAGGAAGCATTGGGTGCTGGTCTGGTATGTAAGGAAGTGTCTAGTATACTAGGGGCATCTCTATGGGATGCTGGAGTGCGATGAGGAAAGTAGGGGTTAAATAACTGAGTTTTCCTCCTTTCCCTGTCTCAGGAAAGTGTCAACATAAATTCCTTGGCCAGCATGTCCACATAAGAATTCCTTCTAATGCTCTGGATCTCTGGATTGTTCATTACCCAAACCTGAGTATTTGCCTTTAGGTGTTTACGAGGACTAGCTCTAGCGGGAAGGTAAGAGAACCTGGTTCAGCTGAGCAAATGGAAGTGCAAAGGGGACAAGCGGACACATCCTTCAAGGTCTCGACGGGCTGAGCTCTGGGCTTCGGGACTATTCATTCAAAGATAACTGAGACTGACCCAGCAGGTTGTTCCACAGCAGCTTTCGCTGTACCTGGAGAAACGAGGCTTCGTGGGTGATTTGGACACGATGGAGCCCATTGATTAGTGAGTCCCAAGGGGGAAAGAGCCTGAGAAGGGAGTGGGAGCCAGGAAGTAAAAGACAGGCCAAGCGTGACCACGCAGAACAATGAGGCCAATTGAAGGGTAGGAAGGGAAGCATCTCTTCAGGGATCAACCCCTGTTGAATTTACACTCAAAGGTTTTCTGACAGGATGCCACCTCTCCCTCTCTCTGCAGTTGACCCCGAGTGCTTAAAAGGCCAAAAGAGTAAGCAGAAGTCCTTACTGGTTTTTGTAAGCTGCAGGAGAACCAGCTCCTGTGCAGAAACGCCGCACATGCAACATAGACGACCTGAATGAGAGGCCTAGGCCAGAGGGGCATCAGAAAACCGGAAAGTCGCAGGAACTGTGAGTGTTTTGTCTGCCAGGTCCTGACAACCAGGAAGTAGGGCATGACAAGGCCACATTCTTTTGGTTGTAAAAAGAACTGGAAGTGGAGCTCACGGTAAGCACTTCATAGGACCCAAACCTCAAGGATTGTTTGTTTTTCTACCAAAGAGCATTCAAAATAACTATGCCTCTAGAGAACAAATAAAATTTGTTCTTCAAAATTATACAAAGCAAATATGTGTTGAAGTTAAAATAGTGTCTTTACAAAATTTCTGGTTTTCCCCATTATTGGTATGGCGGTCCTGTACGACTATTGGTTTCAATTTAAGCTTAGACGCCTATGGAGTGAATCAATACACAGAAAAACCCATATTTTTACATAAATTTCTTGACTTTCAAATGCTAACAACTCATTAAAAGGTTTTTAAAGACCCGTATAGGTCTTTAACTATTCCATTTATTTACTTATTTATTTCTATTTTGTACCCTAAGTGTTCCTTGGGCTTCCATTTTGCAAGCTGTGATATATGTCATTCCACTGAGTTTTTTCTTTGTTTTGTGTGTGTGTGTGTGTGTGTGTGTGTGTGTGTGTGTGTAGGGAGAGAAAGAGAGAGAGAGAGAGACTGCCTAAACATTCCTTTAACAAAAATTCCAAAGGAATAACAACCACAGGCAGTAACAGCAGGAGACAGCGCTCTGACAGCAGAACTCTAATTCAAGATTGCACAGAAATATTTTCCACCGCATTTTCCCCTTTTAATTTGCACTGTGGATTAACCCCACTGTGATCCAACTGGACTGAAAATTGGGTTCAACCGGAAAAAAAAATGAATCAGTTGGTGATGACTAGGCTAGAAACAGCCCTTAGATGTTGAGGAATAAAAGCGTCTTCATCTCTCAGATTAAGCACCATGAATAAGCATTCTGGCAAGTTTCAAATATCAGAGAAACTTTGCAGGATAGCCATGAATTAGCTAACTTATTTTTAAGTATCAAATACTCTGCTTCTAACATCTAAATGCCCCGCCCCCTCCTAAAAATGCCCAGTATATCATAGGGAAAGAAATATCTACTTGTAAAAATTGCATGCTACTTGGCATGATGACCTCCATCTATCCCAGCATCTAAGAGGCGGAGTCAGGAAGCAAAGTACAAATTCAAGGCCAGGCTAGCACGCATAGCAACTTTCAGGCCAATGGAGCTACATAGTCAGAACTTACCTCCTCCAAAATGCTTGTTTACTCAGATTTCCTTTGAATTTCTTTTATGTTTCTTTAGCAGACTTTTATATTTGTTCATTTAAATCATACACATTTTTGAAGTTTACCCCCAGTTCTATGTTTGGTCACTTTCTGAGCGTCATCTCACTTCCACCATGTTTTCTTATGCCCTTTTCATCAGAGGTGTGTGTTTTAATGGAAAGTATCTTATTCTATGCCATTGAGTGCTAACGGCGAGTGAGACAAAAGATGTGGTGATGTGACTACCTTACTGTCTAACAACAGTCTACCTGGCCTCTCTCTGTGCTATTTTTCACAAATGCATGTGAAGGTACAGCAGTCATGAAATTAAAAAAAAAAAGTTTCATTTCAAAAATGAAATGAGGGGGAGAATGGGAGGGTATGGGGAGGAGGGGAGGAAGTGGAAATTTTTATAAACAAATAAATAAATAAATTTGAAAAAAAAATGAAATGAGAGACAAGTTATAAGTACCTGAGATGACTTTGTGTTTGGTTACAGAAACAAAACAATTTGCAACAAACCAAGAAGATAAATAACATGGCAGTTAGCTCTGGAATATGATGTTGTGGTAGAGCTTTGGATTTTTTTTGATTCTGCTTTCTAATACTCACAAGTTTGTATGTCTATGCTTTATATAATTAAGACAAAAATAGATACATTTAGAGGAGACATTGATTTTTAAAAGAAAGTAAAAGTAAGCTACCAGATCTGGTAATATAGGCCTGTAATCCCAGTAACTGAGGGTGGTTGGGGCTGCTCAGGCAGGACGATCACAAACAAGTTCAAGAATGGACAATTTAATAAGAGCTTGTCTCAAAATCAAATGTAAAAAGAAAGCTAAGTGGTGGGGTGCTTGCCTAGCATGTATGAGATCCTGTGAGTTGGAGTCCAGCCCAGTCTACACAGTGAGTTCCATGCCAGCTAGAGCTACATAGAGAGACCCTGCCTCAAAAAAGGTCATAGGCTTGATCCCTATAACCACCGTACTACCACCAAAAGTCTGAAGAAAGCAAGGGGAGGGCCAAATGAAAGAGATAAGGAACGAGACAAGAAAGGGTCTAGTAACCTTTGTGGAGAGGCTGTCAACCTGATAAATTGTTCTTGGAGCACCTTGCTATGGGTGCCTAACTCAGGCCATGGAAAGAGCAAAGTCAGTCAGTGCGGCCTAAGCTCTGATTTGAGCTCAGCATTCAGCATCTCTTTCCTCTGCTAGGACATAGCTTCTCCTGACTACAGAGGAGGGAAGAAAGATAGCAAGAGATCGAGAAGCCATGGAGATAGAAAGGGCTGGATTGCGGGGCTGGGGATCTGGCTTGGTGGTAATGCGAAGCCTAGCATCTCAGGAGGGCTATTCTCTTGGAAGGCAGAGGCAGACAGTGCTCTGTGAGTTTGAGCCAGCGCTTTGGACACTTTCACACATATTTTGTATATCGTCATCATATTCATTCCCCATAACCCTATCCCATTCCTGAGGATCTCCTCCTTCCTAACCATTCCCCTCCTACTGTATCTGGTTTCGTTTTGGGGTATGTGGCAGTTATGGATCGTGTATAACATATATAATAAGTTGCTTTTTATTCACGCATGGCTGTTGGCAGTTCTCTGTTTTAAGACTCCAGATAGACTTAAAGTTACCCATCTCTGTTCTCCACCTTTCCTTGATTCCATCCCTGTCACTTTTGTTCTGGAGTACACCTGACTACCCCGTCCCACACTCCATTAGTAGAGTTCACAGGCTTTCTGTCCACCCCTAATCTTAGATAACAGCTGCAGAGTATGAGTTCACGTGTACCTGTTCCAGTTTTTGCTAAGACTTCTATCATCATCATCATCATCATCAATCATTCATATCTATGGATGCTTCCAAATAAAATTATTTTCCTGTCTTTGTTAAAAACGGGGTCTTACGCAGCTCATTCTGGCCTTTCTCAATTTGGAGCTAAAGTTAGTCATGAAGTCCTGATCCTCCTGCCTCCACCTCCCAGGTGCTGGGATTACATCTAAGTAACCATCTAAATTATATTAAACATCAAAGGAATTTTTTCTACGTTAACTCCTCATAGCCATCCTCTGAGTGAACTCTGGTACTCAAGAGACTAAGCTCTAGAGTCTAGAGCCTCATGAGTTGTGGCCTGGAGTTCTGAACCTGACTGGGGATGTAGCTTAGTTGACGGAGTGTTTGTCTGGCATGCATGAAGTCCTGGGCTCAATCCTCAGCACTGCAGAAACCAGACATGGTGGCATATGTTCAGGAGTTCAAGACTACCTCAGGCTACAGGATGCCCTGTGTCAAGATAAATAAATGCATAAATAAATAAGTAGAAGGAGGGGAATCCTGAACCATTACCTAACTTTTTCTTTACTTAAGGATTTTTGTGAAGTCTCCATAATAGAGTTATGGTTCACAGTGCAGGAGCATTTGTGTATTGAGGGTATGTTTGTGCTGTATGAATGTGGCAGTAGTGCATGCATGTGAGTGTACAGGTATGCATGCCTGTTCACCCACATGCTGAGGCCACAGGAGACCTCCAGGTGTCAGTCTCAATAACTCTCCACCTTATACACTTGAGATGGGGGTCTTACACTGAACTGAGCCCAGCATGCTGGATAGGTATGATGGCCAGTGACCTTCTGGGATTCAATTGTCTCTTCCCACAAATGCTGGGATTACAAGCATGTGCAGCCATGTCCAGCTTTTTTTAAAATTAATTAATATATTTATTAAAAATTGCCACCTTCTCCCCGCCTCCCTTTTCCCTCCCCATCCCCATCTCCCCCTCCCTCTCTAGTCATGGACTGACTTTGTGGGAGCCTGGTTTGTTTGGATGCTCACCTTTATAGACCTGGATGGAGGGGGGAGGACCTTGGACTTCCCACGGGGCAGGGAACCCTGACTGCTCATGTCCAGCTGTTTATGTGGGTTCTGGAGATTGTAACTCAGTCCTCATGGTTGTAGAGTTAGCACTGTTACCTGCCGAGCCATCTCCTCAACTCCAGTCCTATTTTTGACAGTTATACTACCGGGTTCAGAGAAGCCAGGGGAATTTTATAAGTCCTATTGAAGTCCAGGTATCCTGACCCGAAATATTTTTGAAATTTTGTTGTTATTATTGCGTGTTTGTATGTGCACACATGCATATAATACATGTATGTCGATGCAGATGTGACGGGGTGTGTGTGGAGATCAGAGATGAGCTTAAGTGTGTCAGTTCTTTCCTTTCAGCTTGAGATCTCTCTTGTTCTGCTACTCTGTCTAGCTGACCCATGAATTTCTGGCCAATTCTCCTGCCTCTGCTCCCATCTCGCCTTATGAATGCAGGGATTACAGATGCAAGCCACCACTTCCAGCTTTTTGTGGGTCCCAGGGATTAAAGTGAAGTCATCCAGCTTGTGTGACAAACACTTTTACCCATTGTGCTATCTTGCTGGTACCTGACTCTAAATCTTGTTCACTCCTTTAAACTCTTAAACATTTCAGGCATAAAGATTATATCTACTACCTAGCTTTGAAAAGAACTATAGAATCTGAGGCTTCCTGTGTCCTTGAGTCTCTCTCCCTTACCCTTCTCTTTTTCTTCTACGCAGGTGACCACTCTCCTACATTTACTGTTTATTTGTTCCATGATGCCTGTACACTTATACTTTACGTTTATGTATCTACAACCAATTTTGTACTGATACATACAGTTTTAAGCTGTATATAAATGGTAATGCACCATGTATTTAATTCTGTTTTTTACACAGTTTTTTTTTGAGATTTAACCATGCTAATATACTTCTTAGTACATTAATGCTGCTATTACCAAAATACCCAAGACTGGGTGATATATAAGCAAAAGAAATTCATTTTCTTACCATTCAGTAGCCTGGCAAGTCTAAGTTCAAATGATTAACATGTTCAATTCTCTGGTAAAGGCTTCTCTTTGCATCTAAAATTGTGCCTTATTGCTGGGCCCTCCAGAGGGGAGGAATGCTGTGTCCTTAGGTGGTAGAAGAAACAGAAAAAAAAGGATGATACATAAGGCTTCTCTAACAAGGGCCTTAGCCCCATTCATCAGTGAAGATGAGAAGAGATTCAGTTTTACTAGACAGCACCAGTTTTCCAAAGTGGTTATATTAATGTAGTTCCCACCAATTGTTCATTTGAACTCCAATTGGGCTACATCATCATGAACACTTAGCATTGTCTAGCTTTAATATTTTTGAGAGTCTGATCTGTGTGAAATGTTTTCCCACTGTGGCTTTAATTTGAATGCATTTGATTACTACTGAGACTACACACATCATTGGCCAGTCATTCCACTTGTGCTTCTACTAAGAATCCATCCTCATTCTTTGCAAACTTTGAGAATGGCATATTTTTATTGATTTGCAACAGTTATTTTATTCATATGTGAACAGGTATATGTGGGGGTCAGAGGCCAACCTTGGGTGTCATTCCTCAAGAGGCACCATCTACTATGTTTTCTGAGATGGGATCTCTCATCGTCCGGAAGTTCACTGGTTAGACTAGGCTGGTTGGCCACTGAGCCCCAGGGCTCCACCTCTCTCCACCTAGCAGCGCTGGGATTGGAAGCTGTACCACCACCATGCCCCACCTTTTTACATGGGATCAAACCCAAGTCCTTATGCTTTCGCAGCAAGTTCTTTGTCAACTGAACAATCTCCCCAGCCTCCCAGAGTTCTTTGTATTCCAGATGCTAAACTGTTATATGTGCTTCAAATATGTTAACTTTGGATTTCCTTTTTTAATTTGTGAAACTTTTAACAGAGATGCTTAAAATTTGCCTGCAACCAAATGCATTGATCCTTTTCTTTATGACCACACTTTCTGGATTATAATAGGGTCCTCTCTGGACCCTGCTATCCCCCATTTAGGATTTCCTTCACCACTGTTCTGACAAGTCACTCTTTTCCTCCTTTGCCTGCGGTGTTTGTCATATTGGCATGTGCTTTTCGCTATGGCCGTGATGACTTGGCTGTGATTGCTCTGACCTCCGCGAAGATCTCTATGTACAGGCCAAGCAAGTGGCTCCAGCTGAACCCAGCAGCATCCAGGGCCCCCTCACAGCCTTACAGGAGCAGCTTCAGCACAAACTTGGGGCCCATGCCTACCCTTTCAGACTCCAGGTACTGACCTTAAGTCTCGGGCAATTTCCAGAGCAGACTAAGAGATAAAAGAACAGGAGAAGGTCTCCCTATTTCGCTGAGCTCCTTTTGATTTCTTAGATGGTTGCTACCCTGCCCTGTTTGGTGACACTGCACCTAGGCCTGAAGATTCAGGAAAGGGAAGGGAAGACAGTGAGATTGTCACCTTTCCACCAATGACATAGTCAACTTAAAAAGAAAGAAGACTTTTTCTTGTCTTTTTTTTTTCTCTTATGGTTCAGTTTATGGCAACTCACTTGATTTGGATTCGTGGCAACATAGTACATCATGGTGGCATAAGAGGTCTGGTCACCCCATAGTGTCCAGGGAGGAACCAAGAAGTACATGTCTGCAATAACTCAACTTCCCAATCTCTCTTAAGAGATTTCAACTCTTAATTTTTTTTTACCACCTCCCAATAAAAACATCAGCTAGGCTGGGTGTGGTGATGCACATTTTCAATCCCAGTACTTGGAAGGCAGAGGTAGGCAGATATCTGTTGAATTTGAAGCCAACCTGGTCAGTATAGTGGCTTCCAGGTCAGCCAGGACTACCCAATGAGACCCTGTCTTAAAAAGAAAAGAAACATAAGCTGGGGCCAAACCTTTAATTCACAGGCATCTGGGGAATGCTTTGGCTCAAACAGATAGAGAGCAGATAGATAGACAAGTAGTTATGATGGGGTGTAGGAAGAAAGACAGATGGATGAGATTGGAGAAATGGACAGCTAATGGATGAAGACATCTTTATGTGGTCCCACAAGGAAGGGAAGGATAGAATTGGAAATGCATTTTCTTTGTTCCTGACTCTTTACAGCTGTGTGGGGTGGACTCTGAAGTGAAGAGTTTCTGTGTAGAAAATCTGAATGAGGAAAGATTATTCCTCGGTCTTCCTCAAATCCTTGCCTTACGCCTCTACCACAGACCCTGCTCTTAGGACAGAAGCAGACCTAGTTACCATGGCACCATTGCCACTTGGATATCCTGTTCTAATTCCCTCTTATTTCACTTTTCTTCTTCACTCTAGGACATGGGTTGGGAGACATGTGAAAGGCCAAATGATGCATATTTACATTTTGTGGGCTCCCATGTCTGGTTGCAACTGCAGAACTCTGCTGCTGTGGTACTAGAGTAGTCATGGACACTAAAAAAATGAAAACATGTTGCTGCATTCGAACAAAACTGAGTTCTTGGACACTGACACTTAGATTTTATATAACATCTGTCATAGACTATGGCTTTTTCTTTATTTTAGCCATTTACAACTGCAGGCATCAGTCCTAGATTGCAAGCCATAGATAAACAGGAAACAGGACAGATGTAGCCAGTGGGCCAGTTTGCAACCCCTTGGTTTATAGAACACCAAGGATTCAGGCATTCTCTGAGGGAGGCCTTTCCCCACCTCCATCCCCAAGTAAACACAGAGATTTAAGGGCAGTATGGAGTTGTCTGTGGTTGCTGAATGAGACTTCGATCTTCTCCCTTGGCCTCTCCTCAGCGATTCTGTGCAGCTGGTTACACGGAAAGTGCAGCTTTCACCCCTGAACCAGACCCCGGTCCCTGTGCACAGACCATTCGCAGCTTCTTCTCATCAGCTCAACCCCTACAGCTCCAGGCCTGGATGGACAGGGAGGTTGGCGATACCCACCTGTATCCTATCCCTTACATTAGAACCCCTCTGATATCCCCTTTTTACTGATGCCTTAACTTAAATAGGCAGACATGGGAGTTAGGGCAACAACAGTTTTAAGGAAATGAAAATTCTAGATTTAGGTCTGGGCATCCTCCCTCCAACCTTCTTCTGGTTCAGGTTCACTACCATAGAGAAGCTATTTCTGTCCATGTTCCTATCAACAACTGTACCAACAAGGTCATCCAAAGAATCAAGATTGCAGGTGAGTGTCTTATTGTTCTGCATCTAAGCCCCAGACCACAGGTTCTAAAACGCAGCTGGACTTCTTACTCATTTACATTTATCTTAGTTTTCTTTCCCAAACAGGCCTATTAAAACATGTGATCACTGCTGGGTGGGGACAGCACATGCCTTTAATCTCGGGAAGGAGAGGCAAGTGGATCTCTGTGAGTTTGAGGCCAGCCTGGTCTATAGAACAAGTTCCCGGACAGGCAGGGCTACACAGAGAAACCCAGTCTGGAAAAAACAAAAACAAACATGCGATGACAACTTACTGTATAGGGTCACGGACCTTGGCTGTAACTCCACTCCTGGCTGCCTACTACCAGAAACAGGGCCTGGCACTGGACGGCAAACTCAAGCGCGAAGGCACCAATCTGGCCTCTAGCACAATGTAAGCTCAGAGGTAGTTTGCAGACTCTACTTTCTACCCTTAACCCATCCTACATGCTATATGTATGGCTCTGAGTTTTCATCTTTGTTTGAGGCTATTTGTCTTTTAAAATGCTGCTCAGCCAGTGTTCAGCACACTCACAGGCCTCAGAGCCAGCCTCAAGCTAAATGAATACCTATGGGACCGATAGGAAGCTTAGATCTTAGGTAATGAGAAAGGAAAATGCAGAGAACAGAAAATCTTTGTTATACAAGATTTTACAGTCCAAACCAGTCATGGGGTTTTTTTTTTTTTTTGTAATCTTAGCACACTTAGTGGTCAGCACTGAGGCAGGAGAATCACAAGTATGAGGCCTGCCTAGGCTGTACAGCAAGACCCTGTCACAATAATGATACAAACAGGGCTGGTGTGATGTCTCAACAAGGAAAGGCACTTCTTTAGCTGACTGCTTGAGTTCAATCCCCAGGATCCACATGGTGAAGGAGAAAATCAATTCTTATTGTCCTCTGACCTCCACCTGTTTACCATGTCACCTGTACCCCCACATCCATACAAGGACACAAAATGGATAAATAAAAATGTAACAATGATAGAAAATGAAAAAACAAGACACAATTCGCGAAAGCTTTACATCTATCTTCCCTTCCTAAGAATACTATTTAGGCACGCTGGCCAGGTGCGCAGGGTTTTGCTGTTTCTGAGGTGCAGAGGATGAACTCGGAGCCTTCCATTCCCAACCCTGGCCAGGTATGGCATTCGACTTACACATAAGAACTCTGAGGCTTATACTTACCTGGCAGGGGAGATACCATGATCACACAGGTGGTCTTCCCAGGGCAAGGCTCACCCATTGCGCTTGGGGTGTGTGGATCCCCCAAATGTGGGAAACTTGACTGCATAAATTTTGTTAGTGGGGGACTGAGTTTGCGCTTTCCCCTGGGGGGAAAAAGAGCTCTGAGGCTTAAAGACAAGGGACTTGTTCAAGTCTGAGTAATTATGAGGCAGATAGGATTCTATTATATGCCGTCTGGCTCTAAACATGTGATCTCTACAATAGCTACTATCTAGAGAAGATAGAATCGAGCAAAAGGTTAGGAGATAAGAAACAGCAGAGGAGGATATAAAATGAGAATTATATGACAGGAATTGATAGAATTCTTTGATGCCATTCATTTAGTTCTCTGCCTTCAGATTAGCATTAGATGTGTTTCTCACCAAAGCCATTTATCTGCCATCTACAATCATAATTGCCCAGTTCTCCCCATGCCTTACCAAACGACTATCTACAGGCCATTATTTGTAGAAATAGCCTTAGAAACTATCAAAAGAGCATTATTTTGTAGAGAGATCAGCACCCCAAATCAACCAAAAGACTACCCCAAGATTTTTACAGCTTTTGGTATCTTATTTTTCAATCATCGGGTTTTATTAAGCATTTATTTTTTAATTAATTTATTTATTTAAAATTTCCACCTCCTCCCATTCTCCCATTTCCCTCCCCCTCCCACACTCCCCCTCCCCCTCGCTCTCCAGTCCTAAGAGAAGTCAGGGTGCCCTGCCTTGTGGGAAGTCCAAGCCCCCACCTCCGTCCTAGGAAGATGTGCATCCAAACAGACCAGGTTCCCAAAAAGTCAGTACATGCAGTAGAATCAAAATCCAGTGCCATTATCATTGGCTTCTCAGTCTGCCCTCATTGTCAGCCACATTCAGAGAGTCCGGTTTGATCACATGCTCGTTCAGTCAAAGTCCAGCTGGGCTTGGTGAGCTCCCACTGGATCAGTTTCACAGACTCCGTGGGTGGACGCACCCCCCTTTCTTATATTTTCCGTCCTTCTGCTCTTCATCTGGACTTTGGGAGCTCAGTCAAGTGCTCCAGTGTGGGTCTCTGTCTCTATCTCCATCCCTCGCCAGATGAAGGTTCTTATTGAGCACTTATTAAAAGTTCATTCCTCTGCAAGACAATCAGGATATACAAAGAAATTTAAGGTTGTTTTTGCCTTCAGTCAATATACGGCCTGGATGAGGAACACAGGGGAAAGCAAATGGAATCCAACAGCTAAGTGTTAGTTGTATATGGGTCATATGAGTCCAGTGGAAGTTAAAAACCAGCATAGCTGGTAAGACATTCTCAGAGGAGATAGAATAAGCTAGATCTTGAAGAATGTGTAAAATCTGGATATTACTAATAGAAGAAAGAACATTCCAGACTGGAAACCTTGCATGGGAAGAAGCTAGAAGGTAGGAATCCCACATGGCATTATGAGGAGTAAAAAAGGAAGATGGGTCTGCCTAGGCTGTGTTCTAGGTGTTTGGGAGGTAGGGCAGAAAAGAGAGAAGTAGATGAGGCTAGATTGCTTTGGCTCCTGAAAATCAAGCAGAGTAGTTATAGTCAATTAAAAAAAGGGGGGGGGGCCTCGAACAAACAGTAGCACAGTCAAATGGAATTGTAGGAAGAAAAATGTCATCCCAACTGGGTAGAAAACAGCCTGGGATATCTTTTGGGAAAAGACAAAGGCAACAGGGCATGGTAATAAGAAAACACAGGAAGGATTTGGGGGAGCTAGATTCAATTATATTCCTAACATCCTCAAATTGACACTACAATATCAAGTCTTCAACCGGGATGAACAAGGAGCTTCTGGGGATCCTGGTGCTCTACAAAGTTAGAATCAAGCTGATGGTGTCCTATGGGGGGGTAAGTGAATGTTTCAAGTTGGTCTGGGCAGGGGTAGATAGGAGGTCTAGGTTTTCAGGGAACAGGAAAAAAAGGAGGGAGAAGAGCAAAGAAATTTTCTTACGGGACTGCAGAGCCACTTATGAGCCATTTCGCGTCCCTCTCCATCCTTGCCATGGTGGCGACCAGGTAAGTCAGTATGAGGCTTGGAAGCCATACCCCACCCCCTTGCCTTCTGCTGTTTTATGATGGAATTTTAAAAAGCCTTCTCGAAGTGTTGATTTCAAGACTGAACCGGAAGCATGGTCTAGCTTCATGTCACAGCCTGGTGCTTTCCACAGCCCTCGGTTTTCTGTCTCCCTGCCCGTCAGCTGGTGATCTTCTTGGAATTGGTCTTCCCCCTCTTCACTTCCATTCTCTTCTTTCCCTCCAAAAACCCATTCTGCTGTTGTCTTTATAATCCCTTACCCACTGGCAAAACTGGGTTGGTTGCCCCTTCTCTATTTTAAGCTGTTGACTTGGGGTACTTTCCATCATTCCTGTCTTCTTTTTATAATCCCTTCCCTCCACCTGACCTCCCAACACTCTGTTGTTTCCCTTTTAACACTCCCGGGGCACCATTGTCTAGACAGACTCAAAAGGGAAATAAGCCTTCCGTGGAGGGAGGGCTGAGAAGCAGGAAAGGGAGCGCCTTTCTAGAATCAAAAATGTGGAGAAAGCCCAGGAAAAGGTTTGCTAATCCTCAATCCTTCTACGCTGCTTCTGCAAGCTCTGAGGACATAGTTCTCGAGTTTATGCCGCAGAACAACCAGGCAGAGCTGGAAAACTCCAGCAGCAAATGGAGTTCAGAGACGCCAGCAGCCTATCTCTGACAGTCCTGCGTTGAAGCCCCACTGCAGCACTTGAATAAATTGCTTTGTCCAGATATGGCTGGTGATCTCTGGGCTGTTTCCTTCCTCTTGGGGAGGACTGGAACTACGGGGAACGATCTGCCCGCTTCAAGCACCTGCACCCCTCCCCCACCCTGGCTCACAAGCTTGATTACATTACCTGTATTAAGTACTTTGCCCCTTTGTGGTCCCAGACTTCCCTCTGACAAGTCACTTGCCTTTTTTTCTCTGACTTCAGTTACCCTGGCCCCCCACTCGATCATTTATTCCTGTAATCAACTTTTGGCCTAGGAGTACCTAGCGCTTACTTATACTGTACAGAAGCCCAGAGAGAAAGCCAAAGGGGTGTGGCCACTCCCAGGCCTGGCAGTGAGGACGACTGTTAGCAGTTGCTACTGGAGAACATGGTGTGATGTCAGATGGTACAAGCTCAAGTGCAGAAAACCATTGTTACATCATTTCTGCCTGTCCAGCTCAAGGAATGTTTCTGCTCCTATGGTGAGGCCAAGAGCCCTAGAATGAGGTCCAGAGCAGTAGGAAACACAAATACCAGTCTCTATGCAAAGCCAGGCTCACGTTTCTGGTCTGGAATGGGCTTTAAGTTAAGAAGCTATGAATACTGCGGAATGGGATAGGGAAGCTACTTCTAAGATGGCTCTCTTGTAGCACGCGTTGGTATGTGTTGACAGGGGAGGGGGTTTCCAAATAAAACACAATGGTTGGCCTTTCACAGAGACAAGTACTAGATGTATGGGCAGAGAGGTGATGGATGTGTCATCAGTGTGGTGTATAATATGACTGCTCTGAACAAATAGGAAGGTTTGTTGGTCTGCACACCTCAAGTCCAATCTTCACATGGAGGGCTTACTATGCTGTTTATGTGGGGGAGCAGAAACCAGTGTTGGAACAGAAAAGTCATGGGTTCAAACTTCTAGTGTTCCTGGCACCACCATATGTAAAGAAGAAGTTAAGCTCACTAACTAGAGGTTTCCATTATCTGGTCCCTTTACTATCTTCCTTTATCTAGGCAAGACTCTGCAGTAGAGGGTGAAGAATAATTGAATTCAATGGGAAGTTTATTGAGACCGGTGCCAAAACCAGCTGCAGTGTGAAAAACAGAACACCCATTTCTCTTTCCGACACACCCTTTGCACTCTCTAGCTACCCCCCACCACTTAGATAACCTTGTATTGCCCTATGATAGCAAGGCAAGGATCATCCACCCCATCATGCAGCCTGAATGCACAAAATCATCTGTCTCTGAACCTTTAAAAAATTGCTTGCACTTTTATACTAAGGCAGCACTTCCAGTAGTTTCTGCCCTTCCTTTCATAAATGGCTTCACCTCCACTCCTGGAAAAGGGCACATCTTTTTCTTAGCTTTTCTGGGGGTAGGGAGAGTGAAAGGAGAAAAGCAAGTGTTAAAAGTCAGGACAAATTTTCTGCTTAAGTGGTAATGAAAAACAGGACTAACTTCAGCCAAAGGTAGCTCCTTGGTTTGACTTTAAGTGAAGACCATGTGGTCAGAACTCATTTTTACTAGAAGTTGTTCACTGGAGACTGGACTCATCTCCTTAACTCTACTAACCATCTCATAAAACTTAGGGGCTGAAAACTGACTTGAGAACTTTCAGAATTCAGGCATCAAAATCCCTTTTCCCTATCTATGGCTTAGGTCATCGTTGCCCAATTTGGTAGATACTGTGGGCTTCCCATAGCAGCTATTCTTTCCCATCCCTAGGGTGATGGTGGCTTTGTTTGTTTTGGTTTGGAGAGACAGGGTTTCTCTGCGTAACAGTCCTGGTTGTCCTGGACTCATTTTGTAGGCCAGGATGACCCTGAATTCACAGAGATCTGCCTGCCTCTGCCTCCCAAGTGTTAGGATTAAAGGCATGTGCTACCACTGCCCAGCTGGTTTGTTTTTAAGACAGGGTCTCTCTATGTCAGTTGCTCACAATGTGTGGGCTGCGACCCCTTGAAAGGGGTTGAACAACCCTTTCACAGGGGGTCACCTGAGACCACAGGAAAACAGATATTTACATTATAATTTATAACAGTAGCAAAATTAGTTATGAAGTAGCAACGGAAATGATTTTATGGTTGGGAGTCACCACAACATGAGGAACTGTATGAAGGGTCAAAGGGAAGGTTGTGAACCACTGTTCTATGTAGTCCTGGCTGTCCTGGAACTTGCTATGTAGACTAGTTTGGCTTAGAACTCACAGAGATCCTCTTTGCCTTTGTCTCCTAAGTGTTGGGATCAAAGGCGTGGACCACCACACCTGGCTGGGTTATGGTTTTAATACTCTATTCCAAGTAACAGCTCCCAGAAGCTCCTTTTACTCCATCTCCTAACTACTCGGTGACACAGAGCACCTTATCTTCACTGATGACTAAAAGGCCAGGTTCACAAGCTTCCTGCAAGCCACCTACATTAAATGAAATTTAACCTGGAATCCAGCTCAGTAGCACTCTACTGGGCCTTGAAGAATCTTATTTCGAACAATAACCACATTAGTAAAATTAAAATAATGAATACCTGTGAACCTTGTCCTAGAGCAGTGGTTCTCAGGCTTCCTAATGCTGCGACCCTTTAATACAGTTCCTTATGTTGTGGTGACCCCAGCCATAAAATTATTTTGTTACTTCATAACTGTAATATTGCTACTGTTATGAACTATAATGTAAACGTCTGTTTTCTGATGGTCTGAGGTGACCCCTGTGAAAGGGTCAGTCAACCCCTCAAAGGGGTCGTGACCTACATGTTGACAACTGCTAACCTAGAGCAAGATCTTTACAAGAAACTTCTATGGGCTTCCCCCTAGCTCATCATACAGATCTCAAAAGTTCTTATGCAGGTAGCCATAGCTGTGGTGTGTTCGTGACTACAAGGCTATGTCATATCCAGGAGACAGAAGAAAGCTCTCCTATCTATTCTCTGGCTCTGACGTATTTCCACACCATCCCCCTTTTCTGTGATGTTCCCTGTACCTCTGATGTAAAACGTGAGTGCTGAATTAATAAATTAATGGTGAGGAGTAATCTCAACTGGAGGTTACTGAGATGTTTCAGTAAAGTATTAGCCGCACAAACATGAGGACATGAATTTGAACCCCATAGTGCACTTAAAAACGCTGGATGTTTAGTCTGTCATATTGGTGCATACCTTTAATCCCAGCAGAAGCAAGTGAATCTCTCCAAGCTCGAGGCCAGCCTAGTCTGCATAGTAAGTTCCACAACAGCCAGAGATACATACTAGAGACCCTGTCTCAAAAAAGGTATCCTGGATGTGGTAGCACATACCTGTAATCCCAGCACTGGGGAGGCAGAGAGAGGGGAAGCTCCCTGGGACTTCCTTGCCAAACAGGCCAGTCAAATAAAAGAGATTCAGGTTCAGTGAGAGACATTGTCTCCAAAAGATAAGGTGGAAAGTGACCGAGGAAATAGTTGATTCGTACCTTTACACACATACACACACACGCACACACACACACACACACACACGCCACACACACTTGTTAACCACAGCTGGGTGTAGTGGTGTACACCTGTGATCACTGAGTTTCAGAAGATGAAGCGGGAAGATCCTGAGTCCAAGGCCAGCTTGAACTATGTAGCAAGAACCTGTCTCAGAAAAAAAAATAAACTCAACACAAATTTATTAACCATGGAAAGAGTCTTGACTTTAACGTTGTTTGGTAGACTCAGCTAATAGGTTTTGCGGAAATATTCATGCTTTTCTTTCTCAGATGGCCACTGGGGGTCAGCAGAGCAAATCAGAGGATAGATTTCTCAGGAAGACTTAAACTAATTTTACCCCCAGCTCTGTTCAGAAGGTACGGTACCAAAAACAGAACTGAGTCTCGAGCAATACCTTTAGTATAGCTGGGGTAGGATTCATGGGAAGAGCCATTTTCTGCATGTCATCCACTTGAAAAATTGATTTACCTTGTTTATTTAAATAGGTAGATTTCTAGTTCTCCCACAAACCAAAGATTCACTCTCCAGAAGGAATGAAGAGATTCAGTTCAGTTCCCCAGGATTCCTGTATGTGCTTGCATGCCAAAGCCTGCAGGTGGAGGGCAACAGACAACTTTGGGAATCAGTTCTCTCCTTCCACCATGTGGGTCCTAGGGATCGAACTCAGACATCAACCCAGAGAGCCATCGTGATGACTCTCCGTAGGATTTTTAAGTCAAAATTTGGGCTTTCATTGCAGTAGCACTTTCTTCAGAGGGAATAAAAAAACTTTAAATTCTGAATGGTATTTTGATGTCAGTGGAGATGGCACAGATGTGATTTCTGCAGTATCTAATGGTCAGTCACTCAATATCTAGGATGACAAAAAGTTATTTGGGGTGGGGTCAGAAAAAGGAGGAAGTTGGCAGTTATCTCTACTCAAACTACAAGTGGGAAATCACGAACCAGTTTCCTACTGCTGCGTGTGAGAAGCAATGTATCCATGCTACTTTCCTGGTTTAAGTTCCAGATCAGAGAACATGGGAAAGAAGAATATATTAATACCAGCCCCTGTAGCAGACAGTCTAACACTCCTGGGGAAGGGGCAGTTTTAGCCTACAGGGTCCTTGACCCTAGGCTTCCCTTGGTTATTCTACAGCTAAAGTTCTTTAACCTCCCAAGTATTCTAGCCAGATACAGATAGTTGTGAAGTAGGTTTGATGTTGCTGTTTCTTTCACTGTTTGGTTGTTGTAGTTTTTTTTCCTCAGTGGTATTTTATATTCATATAGTATCACTCAAGCCACATTTATTTGGTACTGTGTTTTTACTTTAGGGGGGATGAGGAGGAAGGGGTAAAAACAGTGTTTCTTTGGAGTCTCCCAAGTGTATGGGACTCCAAAGTATATGTACAAGGACTGGGTGGCATGGCTATGCAAATCAGACGGAAGGTCCCCAGATTCTCTTTTCTGATTTCTACAAATAAAATGCTAAGTGACCCATCTGTGGTACCTGATAAATGCCAGATGCTTTCCAGCTGGCTTTCCACAGGCTACAACCATCACCAGCTTTCTCCTTTTCTGGAATGAAACTCACCTAAGAAACTAAGGGAACTCCAAGGACAGTACAGTTGATATAGTGATATAGAATGCAGCTGGTAAGCTGCTCCCCATCCTCCCCACCCGCTAAGCCAGGAAGGCGCTGAGGGTAGAATTTGCCGACTGCGTCTCAGAGGGCTAGCCGGCTTGCTCGGGCAGATCCCACAAGGAGGGCTATGTGCTGCAAGCCTCTAGTGCACAGTCCTCTCTTTTTGGCGATGATAATCTGGGGTAAGAAAGAACACACCACATTATTTTCGGGCTGACCTCCCAACTTCCTCATTCCCAACTTCAAGGGTTTGGTGTTCTCCATATTAAAAAGATTTCTAGGTACCTAGAGCCCTGCCATGTAAGGGAAAAAAAAAGTTGTCTTACTGTAAGGAAAGAAGCGCACACGCATGCTGATTTCTCGGGCTGTCTTCAGGATTTCAACAGCCTGGAAGAAACACAGCAGCTTGTACCAATGATGAGAGGTTACCCAGGACAGAAACATACCAAAGGAATGTAATATGCCACTTCAAACATCTAGGTCACCGAGAGTCGCTCTCTTCTGGTGCATTTCCCTTGAAGAGATGCTTTCTTACAGATAAGGCTAATCCCGTCCAGCCTGTCCTACCTGAGATGGCTTCTTATACGACTATAGTCCATGTGCTATGCTTACTTTGCTGTGCTCAATATCCTGGAAATCCACATCATTCACAGCTAGAACTTGGTCCCCTTCTTGAAGTCCTGCTCGATGTGCATCAGAGTCTGGAATGACCTGTTAGTAAAGGGATAACACACACAACTGAGAAAGAGTAATTCCAGGAGACGGCAGGGGAAATTCAGGGTTGTTCAAGCGTGCCATTTTCTGTGACTCTACAGGGAGATAAGTGGATTGCCAAATGAAATCTGGTTCTCCATTTGGTTTTGGCTTTATAGATTTTTTTTTTGAGACAGGGTTTCTCTGTGTAGTACTGAAACTTGATCTGCACACCAGGCAGCCTTGAACTCAGAGATTCACCTCCTCTGCCTCCCGAGTGCTGGGATCAAAGGCATGCTGTTGGCTTTATAGATTCTTTTTTGTTGTTTGGTCCCAGCTGTCCTTAAACTCAGAGATTCACCTGCCACTGCTTCCAGAGTGCTTGGATTAAAGGTGTGTGCCATCACCACCTAGCCTGCTTTATAGATTCTTATTGCCTACTCCTGACCATCCTGCTCCTGCCTCTGGAATCCTCGGATTACTGGCATACCCCACCACACCTGACCCAAATGCAATTTTGAGAAGGAAAGGGTGAGTTCCTATTATGCCCATTCTATGACTCCACCGGGTCATCCATTTCCCACCTATTGGGGCACCAGTGTATTTTAATAAATACCCTTTGTTAAAAGGGAAGTAGCTAGTCATACAGCCTGCCACACACATTCATGCACAGACCTTGGAGATGAAGATGCCTAGCTGGGAGGCCTTTCCTCCTCGGATGTTAAATCCCAGCTGTAAGACAAGACCACAGACACAAGAATATGTAGAAACATCAGTGAACTCAGAAGAAAACGAGACACTACGGAAGCACCAGTTTTTCTGGCCACCTACTTCCCAATTCACATCCAAGCCCCAACCAAGACCAACCTCTGGCATGGACAAACTGTAGGAGAGATTAGCAGCCTCTATAAGTTTACCTGTGCACCGGGGGGCTTCTTCAGTGTGACGATTCGGGGTAGAAACTGGGTCAACTCATTGTTGTAGTCTGGGTGGTACACTCTCTGCAAGACACAGCAACCTCAGAAATCTTACTGCCAATCTTAGTTGTCACATCTACCTTTTTCTAAAACATCGATAAACCAGCTTAGGGCTAGCAAGTGGGAAAGTCACAAACTCAGTTTATACGGTACAGACACCACAGTCTAAATGAGACGTTCAGCCTCAGGACCTGCTAGCAGCCCCATAGATCCCTATTTTATTGAAAGAATGGAAACCAAGATTTCCGGCATTCTCTGGCGTGAAAGGCCCTGGAAGGATGATACTACAAGAAGTTTCTTATGGGTCCCCGTTTGGAATTCACCCCATGATTCACTCTCCATTGAGCTGCACAATCTTGCTACGTTATCCTTCATAGATCTCATACTTGGAGGTAAGTATCCCTTATTCAGGAAGGCAGATGGCTCCCACCTCATGAGGAGGAATCCATGCTGGGGGATTCTCATAGGCAGGCAGGAAAACCACTGGGTAGTCATCATAAGGGATCCGGGTGTCCATTTCAGGCAAAGCCCTGAAAAGGAGAAATCAAAGCAAATAAAATGATTTTCAAAGGGCTAAGCTCTCTGTTTCAGAAGGCGTCCCACCCTAAGGCCATCCATTTATGGGCCTATCCACATGAACGTGTTGAGATTTGAGAGGGACAAGGGGGCAAAAAAAAACTTATCAATTTTTCTAAATATCTAAATGTTAAGCACTCTAATGGCACGTTCTCACTTCCCACAATTCTAGAAATATAGGTGTCACCGCCTTCAACCCAGAGAAGGGGAAATTAGAATCGCAGCTACAAAGATCTACTTTAATTAAACAGCAAGGGAGTGCCAACTCTCTCCCAAAGGGCTTGGGGCCAGGCGCCGCCCCACCTTCTCTAGAAGTGCTTAGTAAACGCGCGGTCCACAAATGGACTCCGTAGGCACCGGCTCCTTTCCAGATCTAGGTCCTGCCTCCCGCCCGAACCCCGCGCTCACGGTCACGACCACTTAACGCAGCACCACCGCACCGGCAAACAAGCCTCTCTCTGCGGCGCCCTGGCTCGCGGCCAATTCGGCCCAGGAACCGGAAGCGGATGTTGGCTGCCAGCAAGCCTGAGCGGAGCTCGCTTGCCGGGAGCCGGTTCCCAAGCCCTCGCCGGCGTCACGTCGTGCGTGCTCACGCGCAGGCTCCCGGCCCGGCTGTCTGCGCTGCGATTGGCTGGCGCCTCTGGGCTCAATTTGAAACTTGGCGGTTAAAGCTCCAGTTGGAACAGGGCGCCAGGGAAGATCCGGGAAAGGGACGTTTAGTTTGGTGAGTTACGTACCGCGGCCCTTTCTAGTACGTTAGGGTTTTGGCGAGGTCGCTGGCTCCGCTGGAGGGTTTCTCTTTTTCCTTTTTATTTCAGACACCGCAGTGTTGAGACTGACAGACCATTAGGCTGCGGCCGAGTGTGAGTGACGGGAGGGCTGTGATCTCGCTGGGAGGGAGGCTACCCTGCCGAGTTCCCAGGGTCCCTACGGCCTCAGGGCCTTCCCACTCCTGCCAGCTTCCGGAGCCCCCTCGGAGAAGCCGCCTTCACTCCGCGTGGACGCCTGCTGAGGTGCTACCATGAAAGAAGAGGTGAAGGGGATTCCTGTGAGGGTGGCACTGCGTTGTCGCCCCCTGGTCTCCAAAGAGATCAGTGAGGGCTGCCAGACGTGCCTGTCCTTTGTGCCTGGAGAGCCTCAGGTGGGTAAGAGTTTAACTCGCCACAGCTGGAGCTGAAAGGCCGCTGGGGGCGTGGTCTGGGTTTTTTAGCTCTCCCCACCCCCCAATGCCTATCTTTTGCCTTTTGCAGGTGGTGGTTGGTAATGATAAATCGTTTACCTTCGATTTTGTGTTTGACCCCTCTACTGAGCAGGAAGAGGTCTTTAATACAGCAGTAGCTCCACTCATAAAAGGCATATTTAAAGGTGAGACTGTTTAATTCACTTTTTTGAGCATATATTATGTGTGGATATATAGGCACTACAGATAGAAATGGCGGAAGCAGACTCCTTCCTTAAAAAAAAAAAACCAGCCCACAGCTTAGTAAAATTTGTGAAAATCTCAGTCTTTTTACCCTTGAAGCTAGTTTTAGACTATGCTGTTTATCTTTGACCTAGACATGTTTTTTGTTGTTGTGGGATCACTAGAGGACCAGCTCAGCCCACGGAGTATGGTGGTGCATGCCTTTAATCCCAGTGCTGGAGAGGCAAAGGCAAGCAAATCTCTGAGTTCCAGCCGATCTGGGCTACACACACCAAAAAACAAACTCTGTCTCACAGACACACAAAAAAACAAAACAGAATATAGATTTGTTTGGTGCTGATGGTGTGCCAACCTGCTGGAGTGGAAAGCTTCAGTATTCAGATAATATAGCCTCTGGGCTCTAAAGGAGTTCAAAGTCCAGAAGGTCAGAGAACAGGTAGAAGACTACATAAGTGAGTTTGAATACATAGAAAAAAACTAAAGTTTTGCACCTACTTAAAATGTTTTTTGTGATTTTTCTTTTTCTTCCCCCCCCCCACCTCGACCCGAGTTTGTTATAGCCCAAGCTGGCTTATAATGTAGCCAGAAATGGATGTGATGGTGCATGCATTTAATCCTAGCACTCGGGGGTAGGTAGAGGAAAGTGGATCTCTGTAAATATGAAGGCCAGCCCATTTGGTCTACACATATTGTGTTCAGGACCAGCCAGGGCTACATAGTGAGACCCCCGTTTAAAGTGTAGCGTTGTGGGAACACACACAGTGATGCCTACTGTAGACGTTTTGCTGCTTTCCTCTGAAGTACTATGACAAGTCGAAGGCTGGCACTAGCTCCTTTTCGGGGAGTTTAGGTGAAGGTCCAAGCATAGGGAACTTTTGAGGTAGATATTGAACGATGAGTAGAATTTTTTACTTAGTTTTTTTTAAAGCCCTTGAAAATCATGGCCAGTTAATAATCTTTCTTTCAGAAGCAAAGGTTTTATTAGCAGGATTCCAAAGAGAGTAGAACCTGAGAGATGTCTAATTGTTTTAGTACAGTGGTTATTCAATTTTTTAATTAGTTGAGAATTTCATACAATCATATAATGGGTTTTATCAGTTCTCCCATCTCCTCTCCTCCAGTCCTTCCCCTATTTCCAACACATATACTCTCTCTTCTTTTTCTTAAACACAGAGACTGTTTAGTGCTGCCAGTATGTAGATGCATCTTATAGAGCATGGATAGCTTCTGCAGGCCACATCCCTGAAGAAAACTGATTGTTCCTCCTCTGTTGAGCTCCCATCAGTTGCTGGTAGTTCCTCAGCTAGGTGCGGGACTTTATGAGTATCCATGCTGGGACTTTGTGCAGGTCTCACCAACTGTTCATTTAAAAAATTAGAACCGTATCATTAGTGCTTTTCAATTTTAAAATACATTGCATCTCGGCTGCCTAGATCCGAATAATCATACAGAAATTATATTAATTGCAACACCATTTGGCCTATTAGCTCAAGCTTCTTATTATCCAACTCTTAATACCTTAAATTAACCCATTTGTATTTTATATTTTACCACGAGGCTCTTAGTTTGTTACTTCTTGCTTCTTGGGTGGCTACATGGCATCTGCCTGACTCCACCTTCTTTCCCCCTCTTTATCTGCCTGGATTTCCTGCCTTGCTATAGCAATTAGATGAACTTACAGTGTCTTGTTTGTGGCAGGGTCTCATTTATCCCAGGCTGACCTTTAGCTAGATATGGCTGCTTTCTTTTGGACAACTCAGGTTTTTTATACAGTTATTTTGTGTGAGTGTGTGTGTGTCACAGTGTGGGAGAGGGGAGTCAGAGGACAGCTTACAGGAGATGGTCCCTCCTACCATGTGTGTCCCAGATATTGAAATCCATCTGTTGAACTTATCAGCTTCTACACAACTTTATTTATGCAACAAAGATCTCAATACTGAAAAGAAATTTACCTCCCAATAGTTTCTACCCAGTGATCTTAGTTAATCATTCTAGATACACTCAAGCCTTCTAAGTAATAGCTAGTCAAATGTATTTTCATCCTTGGGGGACTCAGTGGTTAGAAATGCAATTACTAGCTGGGCAGTGGTGGCACACACCTTTAATCCCAGCACTCTGGAGGCAGAGGTAGGCAGGTATCTGTGAGTTCGAGGTCTATAAGAGCTAGTTCCAGGAAAGGCTCCAAAGCTGCAAAGAAACCTTGTCTTGAAAAACCAAAAAGAAAAAAAAGAATGCAATTACTGCTCTTGTAGATGACCCAAGTTTGGTTCCCCACACTCACATCAAGCAGCTCACAACTACCCAGAACTCCAGTTACAAGGTATCTGGTACACTCCGGCCTCCACGGGCACTGTGTGCGTGTGGTGCACATAAACTCATGCAGGTACACATAGAGTTATAAAAATTTAAACCAGGCAGTGGTGACTCTTGCCTTTAATCCCAGTCTTTAATCAGGGAGACTTAGGCAGGCAGATCTCTGAGTTCAAGGCCAACCTGGTCTACAGAGGGAGTTCCAGAACAGCCAGGGCTACACAGAGAAACCCTGTCTTGAGAAACCAAAAAGGAAAAAAAAAACAAAGGTTAAATGATGTCGTATCTCAGGGTATATTAAATATCAAAGTATATGCACATGTGTATACAGATGTCCTTGCTCATGCATGTCTTATTGCATGTAGAGGTTAACAGGTGTTTTCCTCTGTTGCTCTCCATCTTCTTTTTTGAGACAGGGTCTCTCTCCGAACCATTTCAGCTAGACTGAATGGCCAGCAGGTCCCCAGGATCCACCTGTGTCTGCCATCCCAGTGCTGGCTTTACACGCTAACATGCCAAGTTTTTATGTAGGTGCTAGAGATCTGAACTCAGGTTCTCAGGCTGCACAGCAAGCAATTTGCCCACTGGGACATCTCCCCAGACCCAGCCTTTATTCATTCATTTACTTGTTTTACATTTATTTATTTAATGTGAATTGTATGTGCTAATGTGTCACAATGAACATGTATGTGAAGGTCGTAGAACAACTTGCAGGAGTTAGTTCTTCCACTATTTGGGTTCTAGGGCCCAAATACCGGTTGTCAGGCTCAACAGTAAATGCTGTTACTCACCAGGCCATCTTGTCAACCTGTTTTTTTTTTTTTCTTTGAGACAAGGTCTCAGGGCATGCAGGCTTTCCTGGAACTCACTAAATAAGCAGGAATGACATTGAACTTTTGGGTCTCCCTGTGACCTCCTAAGTGTCAGGATTCCAAATGTGTACCTCCATCCCTGGTTTGGTTTATTCTGTGCTGGGAAGCGAACCCAGGACTTAAAGAAGCCATCTTTTTTTCTGGAATCATTTGTGATAAGTTGTTGATCTAATGACCGCTGAATACTTGATCATGTATTTTCTATAAGAGTCAAAATTACATGGCAAAGCTGTCATACAGAAGTTGCATTATCACATTGCTACCATCTAATCTCTAGAGCTATTCAAATTTTGTCAATTGTTTCAGCAATATCCTTTAATAACAAAAGGATTTAGTTCAAAAATTATGTTCTTTAGTCCTCAGGTATAAAGTAGTTCTTGAACCTTTGTTTACTTTCATTGTCTTGATACTTAAAGATTACAGAGCTCTTATCTATGTGTCTCTGTTTGCATTTATCTGACATGATAAAATTTGAGCTGTATGATTTTTAGCAATAAGCACCACAGGTGTGCTTCTGTATTCCCATTGATTCCTGTTAGGCAGTACATAGTTTTGATTTGTCCTATTATTGCTTGTGTTTATTTTGATAATCTGGCTAAGGTATTAATCTGCCAAATTTTCCCACTGTAAAGTTAATTTTTTCTTGCCTTTTTGCATATTAGAAAATCCATTATGTTTCTAATTCTCTTCTAATTACTTTTCTTTTACATGATTTTGTTTAATTCTCATCTAATTAACTTTCTTTCCTCTACTCTCTCATCCTATTTATTTTTCAATATTTAAATTATTCCCCCTTTCTTTTCTCTTTAAGTGCATGGCCCCTTTTTAATTGTTATCATTCTTTCTCCCTCTCCTTCTCTCCCTCTCCAGTGCATAATATATAAATAGAACCTGCTGAGTCTATTTAGTGTTGCTTTATAT